TATCATAAATTGCATCAGCTAAGGAAAGATAGCTCCTTGCCTTCTCCTGGAACCCCTGAAGGCAGTCCCCAAACTCCACAGATTGCATGGACACACACACACACACACACACACACACACACACACACACACACACACAACCGTACACATCCACGTCCATTTACCAAGCTGGACTGAGGATCCCCTGATATACTCTGTGGGCAAAGATACCACCTGGCCACCCATGGGTGCTGACTGTGTTAGCCGGGGGGGAATGCCAAACAACCACCACCAGGTCAATAACAGCTCAAGGTTTTTGACCCTCCTTCTCTGTGCTGGGCCTTAAGCTAAGCTACATATACCTCATTTATGCACTTCAACAAGAACACTTCAGTTACAGAGGTAATCTCGACTAATTACTCCCTTATCAGGAAGGGGAGACTGAGGCTCAGAAAGGTTTACTAATTTGTCAAAGATCACACAGCTAGGAAGTAGCAAACCAGGACCTGAATTTGTGTCTTTCTGACCCTATATCCCTAATCATCACCCTCTGCTTCCAGGGGACCCTCAGTGGTACACATAGACATTTAAGTGCACGCAGCCCTGCACCTCTGCTCATAGTGTCCGTACGCAGAGCACACACTCAGCAATACATATGTACAATACCTATGTACGTATGTACAAAATGTAGTGGCATTTGCAGGTACACATTCTCAAGGAGTCACCTCCCCCCTTGTGCATACAGCAGATAAATTCCTTTATCCACTTTTGTGATAGTTAAGAATATGGTTCCTGGAGCCTGGGTTTGAGGTCAGCTCTGTGTCTAATTGTGATCTATATTTGCCTCAGTTTCCTCATCTGTAAAGTGGGGATGATGATGACATGAACACTTCCCAAGATTCTTGAAGATTAAATAACGTATGTAAAGTTAGGGCCTGACCATAATCATCATCACGTGTAACAAATGTACACACACCTTTGTTCTGTGCGCACATGCACCCATATAGATGTGTACATGAGCATACCCCACCTCCCATGCACTGAAGAATACAAAGCCTTGTCCACACCTACCCCCACATGCAGCCCACACACTCAGCCTCTGCAGAAAAGAGGATGCCCCGGGCATTGGAGGTGAGCCTGGGAGCCCCACAGGGCCGGCTGATGACTGAGCCCTCTTGGCAAGCCGGGCCACCCCCAGGGGTTCAGGCTCTAATTGCTCCTTGGTAGAGCAGCAGGGACTTTGGTCGGGAGCCCCGGTTACAGCAACTGACGTCTGAGGTGCTGGCATTCAGGAGAGGCTTGTCAGCAGCTCTGGGTGGGCGCAGGTCCAGGCAGCCTCCCCCAGAGACCCAGCTGTGTGCCAGGGCTCCTGGGAGGTCTGCGTGGAGCTGAGCTGGGCATCCATGCCCACCTGGGCAGTGTTTGAGCCTGTCCTTTGCTCAGTGGAGGTGCCCACAGCCACGCCAGTGACAAACTCTTCTCTGCAGGGCCTGAGACAGGAGGGACATGAGAATCTGAGCCACTCAGCCTAGCTCTGCACATTTCTGGGCTGGAGTGGAACCCGGGCCAGTGTTCCCAGCGAAATTGGCAGGGACCCTGGCTCCTGGGGAAAAGGAGAGAGCAGGATGTACACAGGATTCCCAAAGGGTGAAATAAGGGTAGGGGAGATAATACCACCAGCAAAAAAGGGACCTGAGCCCTGGGATTATGAGGCCCTTGGATCCAAGGGGAAAGGCCCATTCAAGGGCTGGTCTCCAATATGGCCATAGGGGGAGAGGGAGAGAACAAGAGATCTGTAGGCTGCTGGACTCACTTTATACCAGATGATGACACAGACAAGCTTGGATGAGACTGATGGAGAAAATCTCCCCCAACCCTAACCCTCCCAGCATCCACAGAGGGGCTTGCCTCCTTTGCCTCTCCTGAGGATGACTTTGGAGCCCAAATTCCAGACATAGAAGGCTTAAAAGACAGTGACCCTGGCCATCCAGGAGACCATCAAGTTGCCTGCTTTTCTAGGAAGGCGTGGACTCACACAAAGGAAGGAGGGAATATTCTCCCAGTGGGGACAGAAATGATTGTTTCAGAGGCTGGAGTTGTCAGTGGCACACCTTGGTATAGAAAAAGAGGCTGGGAGGGGCTGGACATGGAGGGGTCTTAGCAAATCCTCACCAAGACACATGCTTCCAAACTCCACTGTTCCTCTAGACACATCCCCATGTGTTCCCAATGACAGTAAGATCCCTGGTCCCATCCCAGGCCCATCCTGAGAAACCCTTTCCTGGGAAGCAGAGCTCCCTTTTGAGGGCAAGCCTTCAGGGTACTTCCTTGGCCTGCTGGGATTTGGCATGGCTTTGGGGGGTGGTCAGGTTGATGAGGGTCTTGAGGTATGGGAGCCAAAACCTGTGTGTTTTTGGCATTGGGGCTTGGACCTGGGGATCATGTGAGAGCCTCAGCCTTCAAGACCCTCCCAGAAGTGACTCCAAATTGAGAAGTATGGTGACTGTTCTTTGGGGCTCCTGGAGTTTATCCTGGTGCGCGGAAATTTGGGGGTGGTACTTCTTACCCAGAGTGGCTCGGAGGGCTCTGTCCTCACCTGCTGAGGTCTGTGGTGGCAGGTGGCCAGTGGACTTGAGTTGCAACTCCAGACTTGACTCATGATGGTGGACCTTTAGTCATGAACTTTGGTGGTTTCTGGGTAGGTATGGCATTAGTGAGGACATTCAGTGACTGAAACCCACTCCAGCTCGCTTAAACAGCATAGACAGTCACTGGCTCACTGTAATTAGTCCAACAGGTGGCCTAGCTTTAGCATACCTGGAACCCAGAACTCCAATGGTATGAAGTCTGACTTTCTCCATCTCTAGACTTTGCTGCTGATTTAGTGATTTAACCCTCAGGCCACCTCTTCCCACGTACCCCTGTGATCCCTGGTCTATGTGGTACTTAGTGTTCAGATTGCCCAAGTACCCCTGTCAGTTCTTGAGAAAGCCCCAGAACCATTACAGTGTCCGGGGGGATAACAGATCAGTCCAAAGATGATTGACCAGGTGTGCCCACTCCTGTGGTCAAGGAGGCAGAACCATCTTCATGGTGGAAATCCCTATGAGATGGGGAGTCCTGTTCCGTGACCTCCGGCCAGCCTCTGTGGAAGAGCACCTGGGGATGGTGCTCTTGGCCGAGACTGCTGGGGATCCAGAGAGTGCTCCCCCCGAAGCCGAGAGAAGGGGAAAAGACCCCTGCATGATCATGTCTTCTGGTTTCCTTGGGGCCTCCATTGGCCACAGCCTTGTAAGCAGCCACACCATTGTGGCCGGGGCTTCAGGGAGGATGGTAGTGCTGCTCCAGGGAGCCTGCTCAGTGGCCCAGATGTGCAAGTGGCTGTGGGTGTGATGGCTCACGCCATCCCACTCTGGGAGAGGGAGGGAAGGAGGGAGGAACACATCCACCCTGGGTTCCAGAGGGACGACAGTGACCCAACTGAGGAAGGCCCTTGAGCCAAATAGCTCTGGGCCTTGAGATTCCAGATTCCTCATCCAAGGCTTTTTCCTGTTTGTTACGACTGGTTTGGTGTTTTTTTTGTTTGTTTGTTTGTTTGTTTGTTTTTGTTTCTTTTTTAAGAGCAGTTTTAGACCTACAGCAAAATTGAACTGAAGATACAGAGGTTTCCCACGTGCTTCCCTCACACATGCACAGCCTCCCCCATCCAAGTGTATACTTGTCATTACTGATGAACCTGCACAGACACATCCAAATCACTCTGATCCATAGTTGACAGTAGGGTTCACTCTTGGTGCCGTGTAGATGAGCGTGTAATGACATGCATCCGTCATTATGGTACTGTGCAGATGTCACCGGGTTTCATGGTCTTTCCAGAGCAGCAGGCAGAGCGTTGTGGAACTCCGGAGAGGGTGGGGTGCAGTGGACATTCGAGACTAGATCACAGGCTGTGTGCTATCCCAGGCCTGTAACACCTTGTGGAAGACCTAGGAGGTGGCTCTGGGTGCCGATGTCCTGTGCAATGGTGGCACGGTTTTCCCCTGTCCCTCTCCGTGATCACAGCGGCTCTCAGGCAGCCCCCTCCACTTCCCAACAAGGAGCACCTCGGAGGCTCCCAGTGTCCCCCCTTCTCGGGCAGCTGTTCCCTGCTGTGGGCAGTGACGGGGCCTCCGTGCTGCCCAGGGAAAAGCCCTGGGTCTCTTGACAGGGAACAGTCCATATTTGGAAATGGTGAGCTCTGTCACAGACAGAAAAGAGAACCAGTGCCAGATTGTTTTGGAGGTAGAGAGGGATCGGAATGGGATGGGGGCAAAGACAAGGTCCTGTGAAGAATTCTTTCTAAGATTGGATTGATGGCAGTTAGTGGAGTCCCAAGACCCAGGTGCTCAGAGTACTTGGCTCAGTCAACATTTGTTTAAATGATAAATGAATGAACCAAGGAACGAGAAAGACTCTTCTCATTTGGCCGTGACCGCCAAGGGTCACTCAAGGGTACGGTGCCCACTTAGTATGATTGACACGTCAACATACTTCAGGGTAGCCATGAGTAGCACCGATGTGCAAATGCCATGGACTGTGATGGAGCCAGGGGCACAGTGACCGTCAGAAGGTGTCTGTGAGGCATTTATCTCTGGATACCTTTGAAAGCAGAGAAGGCAGCTAAACTCCCAGGCACACCAGTAGTCCTAATGGGTTTCAGAGACCCTCAGTGGTCACTGTTTAGCCAGAGCTTCCTTGGCCTCTCCCACAGGGTGATTTCACACATTTGACACATCCTTGTTTCAGTTTTACTGTTAAATTTTTTCATCAAGCATTTGTGTAAGTGTGGATCACCGTCCATCGGGCCCTCCTCTCAGGGAGCGTGTTGGCTGCTTCTTAGTGAGGCACAGGCTTCTCAAGGCTGGACTCGAGCCAGGTGTTTGCCAGGTGCCCAGGCTGCCTGGCTCCATGCCCTGCCCCCACCCCCACCGCCCAATCCTGCTGGGCTCTCATGACTGCGTTCTCTCTTGTCCTCTCTGCAGGCTGGTGGTTTGTGAGCACCTCTGAGGAGCAGGGCTGGGTCCCTGCCACCTACCTGGAGGCCCAGAATGGTACTCGGGATGACTCAGACATCAACACCTCCAAGACTGGGGAAGGTAAGGGCCTGCAGGTTCAATGCGGAGGGGAAATAATGAGGCATTTGCAGGGTGTGGGCTGCTTCGAGATCCTCAGGGATGGGTACCCACCCCATCCCTGGCCCTTGGAGTGAACCCATTTCCCACTCTTCTCCCTAAAGCCATCAAAATCCCTAAGGTGAGTTGGGCCATGTGCCAGACCCTTCCCTTGGGACCCCATCTCACTGAAGCCAGCCCACAAGCTCACCTCCTTTCCCAGGCCTGGCCCTACCTGCCCTGCATGGGGCTCAAATTAGAGGGGAAATTTCCCTGGAGTGTGGATCTCAGGCTTTGGCAACTTTGGGGCAGAGACTGGAAAGAATAGTCTTAGGACTAAATGCCACAGCACCCTTTCCCCATAGAAGCCCTTGGTTCCCCTGGGGACCCCACAGAGACCAACCTTTGCCTCCCTGACCCCACAGTGTGCTCTCTGCTGCAGGGATGAACGCAATGGGCTTTGTGCACACAACTTTTGCTGTGCATGTCTACTCAGAAGTCTCTGCTCTGGATATCTGTTATCCTGGCCAACAGTTCAGACACAGAGAACAAGCCTGCATGTCATTTCTCAGTGTAGCAAGAACCGCAAGGTGGCCCTTGCACCCCTAGCCCCTCTGATTAGCTCTGGCCTCGTGAAGTTTTCCTGGGATTTTCTCACTGCCCTTCCCCCCTCCCCACCCCCCCAGGCCAGCACTGTCTGTGGACTCAGGTATTCTCCAGAGCAGGCCGCCTGAGCCCAGGGAGTTCGAGCCGCCCCCAGTTCCTGTCTGCCTGCTCCTAAGAACTTCTAAATCCTCTGTGTCCCAGCAACAGGAATGCTTGCCCTAATGGTCAGTGGGGATGGTCCAAATGGGCACGACTGAGAGCCAGGGGGACAGAGGCCTGCCACCCGGGGCTCAGGCCACCTCCAGGCCTGCCCCCCACATACACACCCTCCATTCCATGCTGCCCAGGCCAAAATAAACAGTCCGCCAAGCGAGTGCCAGCTCCTTATTCATTCTTGCCCTAAATGTCAGTTACTCGGCAGGCGGTTGGAGCTCCACCCTTCCTCCCATGTAAATGCTTTATTTCAGTCCCTTGACTAGGGCTGCAGCCCCTGCAATGCACATCTACCTTGTGACAGGTTTCCAGGGATGAGGCTCCGTCGGGAAGAGTTTGCAGGTTCAGGCTGGGTGCCCGATCCTTCCTGGCTGCTCCCTGAGCCCTGGGGCTGAGCCTGCACCCAGCCTCATCTCTGGTTCCATTGCACCTCTGCAATGGTGGAGGATTTTAGCCCCTGAGCTGGCTCTGGTATAGTTTATCTGCAGTCATCAGGCCTTGCCTCCTACCCAGTTCCATGTTCTGGGGTCATCCCTGGGCCTTTCAGAAACAACAATCCCTAGAGTGTCTAGTGAGGTATTATTCCCTGCCAGGTGTGTGGCCCTGGGACTTTAAAAGCCTTCGCCACCACTCTGGGAGGCACTGTTAAAATCCCCCTTTTCCACATGCAGGAACTGAGGCTTCAAGACATTTAGCTACGTGATTGTCCTCGTAAGGCTTGAGCCTTGGTCGGCCTCCTTTGCCTGGTAGTCTTTACCACTGTGCCCTCTGCCCACCCATGAAGCATTTTGCTTGTAAGCACTTCTGAGAGGGTGTGTGTGTGTGGAATTTGAGTCCCGCCTTAAAAGGCTTTGCCAAGAATGTCAGAGCAGAGATGTCGGGAGATGCAGGACAGGACACTGAGTAGGCAGGGAAGTCCCGGGCAGGAAGGAGCCAGGGAGCTGTGTGCACACAGATGGCAGCCTGGTTTGAGGAGAGAGGAGGTGCTTTTGCAGTGCAAGAACAAGCAGTGGCAGGCTGTAGAGGATTTTGACCTTGACAGAGTAAGAATCAGTAAGGCAACCAGTGCAGGCTCTGCATTCAGAAGTGTTCGTGTGTGCGTGCATGTGCCTTCAGGGAGACCATCTTTAAAATAGATTCCTCAGCATCCTTTTGATAGGACCTGTGTGCCAGTACCCCTGGCAACATTTGGGCAGCTATGAACTTCATCATCACATCTTGGGCGTCTGTGCCCAACTCAACAGGAGAGCTCAGGGCTCAGCACCCCAGCCCAGGGCCCTGGCATCTGTGGTATGTCCGAGAGACTATCCCACATTGGTCCCCTCTACTCCAGGCCTATTGCCATCCCATCATAGGTCTCTGATCCCTGATCCCAAAAAGACAATTGGCTGTTTGGGTTTATTTCTATTATCAGGCATTCTGGCATATGCTAGAGTTCTGAAATGTTACCAGTAGGAGGTAGGAGGGCTGGGGTGGAGGTTGAAGATCCTCTTACCCACTGATGACAATAAGGGCCAAGCCCAACTCTGGCAAAGTGCTTTCATGAACCATTGGGTCCGTTGCCTCTCAGAGGTGGTAGGAAAATGGAGGCCCATAGGGGTGTCACCTCCATGGAGCCCCCAGTTCAGTTTGTGGCAGAGCCAAAACCAGAATCTGGGTCTCTGCCTGTGCCCTTGTGCCCTATAGCTGCTGGCGATGATCTGCCTCTCTCCCTGCTGGGTCCGCATTGGCACCAGCCTCTTATCTGGGCTTTCCCTGTTGTAGGCAGGCCAAGGGTGCAGGGTCAAGGGGGAGGAACATCGTAGGGCCTAGAATCTGGGCTCCAGAGCCAGACCACCTAGATTCATGTGCTGCCCTGACACTTAGGTGTGTGACTCAGAGGGTTTCTTGACCCCTTCGTGCCTCTGTTTTCCCATTTCTAACATGGAGATTGTGCTGACTGCACAGGGCTTTTGTGAGGCTTCAGTGAGATGGTCCATGTGCATGGTTTCAGCTGGGGAAATAACACTTACTGCTGCGGTGGCCCCTGGCCTGAGCATCATCTGAGGCTTCCTCTGCCCACAGGGAAGCCACCGAACAACCTGCCCGGGAGGTCAGCTGTCAGGGTCCTTCCCAGTCTGGCCTCACACAGGAGATCGTTTCTTTTCCACGTGGCCCGTTCAGTCCCTTGTCTCTGTTCGTGCCAGGGCAGATGTCAGCCCCAGTGACAGATGAGGAAACAGGCTTAGAGAAGAACAGAAGCCTGCCTGCCCCCAGGTGACACAGGCACCCGGCAGCGAGGCCTCAGCTGAATCCATATCTCCAACCTTTGGTCCAGGCCTCCTACTGCCAAGAAGCAGGTCAAATAGGTCACCACCACTCCCTCGAGAAAAGCAAGTACTTCCTAGGAGGCTTTGGTGGGGTTTGGCTCAGGTGTGTCTGGACAGTCTTCCTTTGACTCTGCTGACCTGTCTCCCCCATACTTGAGCAGTCTGACCCCCAGCTTCTGCAGGGGGCCGCTTGGTGCCCCGCAGCCCTGACATGGTGTCTTTCCACCTGGGCATCCTACAGGAAGGCAGAGGGTTTCTGGGGCTGGGCCACGGCAACCAGAGGGCATGGGCTGGATGAGAGGGGCTGCAGCACAGAGAACTGGGCAGCAGGTCCCCTGCTGTCAGAAATCCGATGGGCAGTGTGCAGCAAAGGAGCAGAACCAAGGCCTGCAGCATCCGTCCCCATGCAACATTTCCTAGTGCTCAGCCGCTGGCCAGGCCCTGTGCTAGGCCCCGGAGAGGGCTGAGAGAGCAAAGACAGGTACCCCCAGGGTGATAGGGACAGGGAGCCCCATGGCAGAGGACCCCCACGTCTCTCCTGACACAGTGCCTGGCTCATGGCGGTAGGCTCACAAGCAGGACGTAGTGAGTGGGTGGCTGACAGATGGGTGGTGCCGTGGGCCCCATGGCCTCCTGGGAACCGTGACTGCCCAGCCATGGTGGAAGCAGCAGTCTTTCCCTGGGGCTGCCTGGGAGGGCCATCTTTGTGCCAGGTTGGGTCCCAGGACCCTCTTCACCTCTCAGGTGCTGGCATTGTGAGTTCTTAGCCCCTCTCGGTCTTAGGGGTACAACCCACATGGTTTGGCTTTGGTGGAGTTTCCCCCGTGTCAGTGGGCAGATCTGCCCTCATCCAGCAGGTGCATGCTGCTGGCGCTTGGTCCTGGCAATGATGCCCTGGGAGCCTGAACCTTCCCTCCCGCCATCCCCCTCCCTGCCCCATCCCATCTCATCCTCATCTCCATTCTCTCCGCCGGTTCCGTCGGCCGCGTGTTCCATTGCCATCTCCCACACCAGTGTCCAAGAGACGCAAGGCCCATCTGCGGCGTCTGGATCGCCGGTGGACCCTGGGCGGGATGGTCAACAGGCAGCACAGCCGAGGTGACTGTGGGAGCTGGCTTCTCCTGACCCGCAGCTGCCGCCCCTCGCTCTCTCGCTAACACCTCCCTTCCTCTCTGAGCTCTGCTCCTGTCTGCCACTCGGCCTCCTCACCCAGATTCAACAGCTAGACTTTCTCTCACCTTCTGCATCTGTGGGGTGTTGGGGAGGAGGGCACAGGGGGCTACCTGGGAATTGGGATGACTGGGAGTTGGGGGGCGGCTCTGGCTTCTGCCACCATCCTGGGGATGGGGGTCATGGGATTCAGGATGTGATGTGGGGGCGGCTGGACTAAGAAAGGCCACATTGGCCCTAGAAGCTGCAGATGAGGGGGATGGGGTGTAAGTCTCTGCACAGGCTGTCCCACTTGCCCCCACTCTTCGGTGCCCGCTTCCTCTGAGAAGGTGCTCCAACGGCCAAAGCTGTTCCAGCAACTACTTAGGGACAGAGTAGGAAGAAGGGCCAGCCCACAACCCTCCTTCTTCAGCTAGCTCCAGGGAAACTAGAAAGGGAACAAAAGCCAGTCCCAGCCTGGTCCCGGGATTCGGCCCCAGCCAGCTCTGAAGGCAGTGACAGGTCCAGCCAGGAGCTTCCAGCATCTTCAGCACTGGCATCAGCACTTTGTGAGGGGCCTGGTCAAGATTCCAGGGAGGCCCCTGGCCAGCCATCCAGGCTGATTGGGAACTAAGACATTTGCGGGTTCAGGGCCTTTCCAGCATCCAGGAGCTTGGGAGTAGGGAGCTTAGGGGCGAGCCTCTGAACAAACCCCTCAACATCTCCAGGGCCCACAGGCCAGCAGAGGTCCGTTTCTCCTGTCTCACTGAGAACAAGGCTGGAAGGGCCTGTGATGAGCACTGGCCTCTCTCCGATAGCAGGGATGCCCCATGAATATCGGCCCACCTCCACAGCTTGTTCCTGAACAATCTGAGACCATGTTTTGGCACCAGCCCCAAGCCCCAGGCAGCAGCAAGCCTGGACGCTGAGGTGGCCGCCACCCGTGGCTGGTGCAGCACCACACTCAGAGCACTGGCTGTGGGAGCCCAACTCATCCTGAGGGTGGAACAAGGGTTGGACTCCAAGGTGCAGGGCAGGAGGCCAAGTCATGGAAACGGCGAGAACGAGCTCGGGTGTAAAGCAGGGGCACCCTAGAACTAGGAGGGGTGGAGCAGCTTTGCCGGGGGGCCAGCCTGGGACACTGCCCTGAGCCTTGGCAGCAGAGGAGAGGGGGGACGCTGGCCTGGAAAAACCGCAGAGACAAAAGCTTGGCCTTCCCCCACAACCTCCAGCATCTGCTCCCAACGCCATCCTACACCGAACCCCAAACGCAACTGCGTCTCCATAAGCACACGGACACTTACAAGTGACGAAGCACTACTGCCCGTGCGCAGCAGTACGCTGTCCCCTCTGGCCCCCACGCAGCTGCGCATCCGTGGCCTCTGGCCCACAGCCACTACACACGTAATACCGCTCGTGCAGCCAACGTAGAACATTCCACATATGCATTTACAGTCGCAGATGCTTCAGCTGCTCTGGACACATCATACGTCTGCTTCTGACCACCGAGGACACACATAGCTTCCTATACGGTCTCATACGTAGCCCCTCACACTGCATGGGCACAGGCAGCGGACTCGGAGTTACACGCATGCAGTGGTATATGTGGACATGCGTTCCCAGCCAGATGCACGACTCTGTGGACATCCATACGTGTACAAATATGTAAATGAGGACAAGCCCACTTTTTTCTCCCTCCCCTTCTCTCTCTCTCTCTCTCTCTCTCTCTCTCTCTCTCTCTCTCTCTCTAAGAGACCTAAACAGCATTATTTCCCAGTCTCAGCCCTAAGTTAAGTCAGGACTAAGTTAAATCAGGCAGCCAAGAAAAACTTGCAGAAAGCTGGCTGGGAGAAAGCAGTGGAGCCAATGGGGGGAAACAGGCAGTGGGTCATATATAACTAGACAAGAGAGAAGCAGTGCTTCCCTGGGGCCTCCACTCCCCAGCCCCTCCGCCAACCAGGCCTTTGGAATCAGAAGGCCTCTTGTAGTGGGGTTGGGTAGGTTGTGGGGGCCGGGAGGGAAGCCAGGGAGACTGCTGACGGAGGGGAAAGCATTTGAAAGAGGAGGCGTCTGTGGTTTGGAAACTGCAGGGTTCTCCAGACCCCGCCTCCAAAACCAAAACAGGCCTGTCCACCTCCCCCAGCCAGCCACCCACCCACCCGGTGGGCGGCCTGGTCAGCCCTCCCTAGGGCAAAGTTGCCACCCACCTTTGACGGCACATCAGAGTGACCACAGCCTCAGTGCTTCCCAGAAGCCCTGAGGTGACCCCCCACCCCTGAGCTTACAGCTCCTTCTCCCTTTTGATTCCTAAACTTTGATTCCTAAAAGTCTCTTCTAGAGACCCAGGCAACCTGAATGACTTAGCTGCCCACCCCACTCCCCCTCCCCAAGCCCCTGAGACCATTTCAGTCTGTCTGGGCATCCTGACTTGGTTCCCCATCCCCACCCCCAGACGGGGCTCTGCCCTGGTCCAGTAGAGGGGCTGGCTCTGCCTCTCCCTCAGGGAAACGTGGAAGCTGGGAACCTGACAGCCAACCACATGTCTACACGGAGGTAAGCCATGCCTCCGCCGCCTAAGCTGGCCACGGCAGGAAACTAAACCCCCACACAGACCAGTTGGAAGAGTTGTGCTCTGAATGCTCATCACCTGGGACCTACACAGTGACTGGGCAAGATAAGCCTCTAGGCCAGCCAGATCTCTTCCCAGGAGCATGAACTCCCAGACCTCTGTGTTCACGTCAGTCCGAGGGCCACCAAGAACAGGGCCTTGTGCAGGAGCAGCTCAGCTTCACTAGGGAAAACTGATGTGCTTGGTTCTGCCTTCTCCGAGAGGGTCAAGGGGAGGCCGGGCACTTACATGGCCCTCAGTGCTATGTCCTCCGCATACACACTGGGGGCTGCAGAGGCTGCTGCTTGGGCCTGACAGCTCCAGAGCCTGGGCCCGCATGTCACGGTCCAGGCCCTGTTCTCTGCCATGCGGCAGGACAGCACTCCTCTGATCTTCCTAGGAGAAGGACTATAATTTTTCCCTGCAGAGGCAACTTTGCCTAGGAAAACTTTAATGATGGCTTCCTGCTGGAACCACAGGCTTTTAAAAATAGCCCGGCTGAACACAGGCAAAATGTGGAGCCCAGGCCTCGCCTCACCCTAACCTCAGAACCCTACATCCCCGGGGCCTGGTGCTGCCCCTCTGGCCACGGCCCGGGCCAGGATTTACCGTGCCCCACTGGAAAATGGAGTGGGACCAGGAGCAGGCAGGAGAGTGGAGGGCTGGAGTGTAGCACACTGAACTTCTCAAAGGCCCGAGTCAGAATCTGGCTGGCCCAGGTTCTCAGGCGATCTTGGCAGCTCTCCTCAGCGTGGCTGGATGGGAATTTGAAAGCTTCCAGGAGTTAGTCGATGGTGAGAAAGGCCTCTGCATCTGGGAAAAGCTTGCCGTTGAGAAGCGGATGCCGAAGAATGGTGGAGGCTCCAGTGGGTCATCACCTACCTTTTGCCTTTGGCGGCCTCTGAGATTTGGCGAGGGCCCATCAGCTCTGTCCTTGCCACCTCCATCCTGGAGGGACTTGCTATCCAAGCCCGGCACAGGGCTGCAGACAGGACCCTGATCCTCCTAAGTAAACAGATGGCCCTCCTGTCGTGGGGCAGCGAGGGGGGGGATGAGGTGGCAGTTGTCCTCCATCCCCCTCCCCTACTGCTGCCTAAGGCTCAGGCAGGCTGCCCATCAGGGTCCACCAAGGAATCTAGGAGTTACTGTCATAGTTGGGAGCAAGGAGGAGTGGGGCAGGTATCTTAGAACACAGCCTCCTGCCCCTGCTCAGACAGCCTTGCCCTTCACTGATGCGCTGCCTAGTGCCTTTGGAGCCCCAATTGTGTGACAGGCACAGGCTGGAAGAGACAGCATGAGTTCAGGGTAACCTTCCCAGAGGGTGTGGCCAGTTCTGTCTGGGTCTGCTCCTCCTCCCAGAGGGTGAGTATGGGGATGTGTGATCCTTCCTGAGACCTGAACGTTTCTCTGGGGAGGCTCTCCACCCAGGAGACAGGGCGGCCAGCCAGCCAGCCATGAGTCCACCTGGCCCCAGCAGACACAGGAGGAACACCTCCCTGGAAGCCTGAGCAAGGACCCGTGCAGAGGCAGCAGGGCCCCTGCCAGGAGAGAGGCTGAAGAGATCCAGGAGGACAAGCACTGCCCGGCCTCCCCACACCTGCCCTCCCAGGCTTTTCCTGTCTTCCCATAAGGCACCTCCTTCCCGGTACCTGGGGAGGCCCTGAACAAGGCTCGCAGGCGAATGTGACAGTAGAGCAGGCAGCTCCCCAAAGGGGTGCTCCCAAGCTGTGTGGTCAGCTCAGCATGCTGGCCCACCCTGGGCTCCGGGAGGCCCTGCTGATGGCTGCAGTCAGCATCACCGCTGATCATTTGGCCGCCGGACCCTCATCTTAAAACCCATGTAATCACTCCCATCGAACGTGTGTCCCCCACAATCCTCTTGGGAAAATCACACAATCAGGTGATCACATTAGTGGTCAGGGGAGGCTTCACCAAGGAGGTGCCCCTGGGGCTGCCGGAAGATCAGACAGAGGCAGGATTTAAGGGGTAGAGGTGGGAGAAGGGCTCAGAGAGCAAGTCTGGGGCATGGATGGGGGCCTGGCACGTTCAGGGAAGGGGGGGGCATGCCACGGCGCCTCCAGACATCCCAGGGGATTCCTGACTCAGGTGCCACACGGGGCAGGTTCCCCCTAACTGTGCCCTCAGTCCAGGGAGCTTTTGGACCCCTGAGGACACTAGGCCCCAGCACCCTCACTGCTGTTACTGGGCTGGGAGAGCCAACTCTCTGCTGCCAGGGCTTAGCCAGGCCACCTGGGGCCCCGGCCAGCTTCTGCACACACTGGGAGCCACAGTGAGGCAACCAGCTAAGCCGGGCCAGGCCCGAGGAGGAAGAGACAGGAAGGAGGACCTGAGCTCCAACCTCAAATAACTGTGCCTTGTTGCTTCATCCACCCCCCACAGAGGAGAAGTACGTCACTGTACAGCCTTACACCAGCCAGAGCAAGGACGAGATTGGCTTTGAGAAGGGCGTCACTGTGGAAGTGATCCGGAAGAACTTGGAGGGCTGGTGGTACATCAGGTAGGAGCCTCAGCGGAAGCGAGAGATCCCTCTACCACTCCGGCCCTGGGCAGCAGACTGCACAGTGGCCGTGGGCACCAGCTGGCAGGTCGATACTGAGGCGGCTTTGCGCCCACAGCCCAGGCTTGGCTGCTTCAACCCTGCACGGTTGAACAGCTCAAACAGAGTGCTCATCTCGCAGCTTCTCTCCTGGGGCACGTCAGGCAGAGCCAGAGTTGTGGCCAGTGGGGCACAGGGGCCCCGGCTCAGCTTGCAGGCAGTGGTGCAATCCCTTCCCATGCATCTGCCAGGAGAGTCCAGCACATCTGAATTTGGTTTTCTGTGTCCGGCCTTGGCTGCCTGGTGCGCTCTGTAGCTCAGGCCGCCTGAAGGGCTGGCGTCCACAGGCCTTGCTGAGGTCCCAACAGGCGGTCCCTGCTGCCCACAGCTCAACACTGGGGGCCTTTCCACTCTGCAGGGCTGGCTTATATGGTTGCAAGAGCCAGGGTAGAAGTAAGGCCTGAGCCCAAGCCTAGCTTAAAGGCCTCTTCCTTCTGCCCCTCCCTCTTGCAGGGCCCAATCATGTTTCCCAACTGAGAAACCCATTTGGGAGCATGGGGAGGGGAGGGAGGGCTTCCCTGGCAATCCTAGAAGCCAACTAAACCCTGTGGGCTTCACTCACCTTTCCCCTACCAAGTCCTGCTCTCCAGTCCCCTCTGTCCTGGGGCTCTGAGGCCAGCCAGCACCTTCTGGGTGGGGGGTGGGGGGTGGGGTTAGGGCTCACAGGAAATGTTTTTGGGTCCTTTAGAATTGACTCTGCTGTGGTGATTTCACCCAGTTTCTCTCTTCCCTGCCTGTAGCCCAAATGACCAAGATAGTCTTGTATCTGTGAGCTCTGGGGACCACTTCCCCAGCCCATCACCTGGGAACCCCGTACCCACCCTGGGCAGGAAGGGTGCTCCGCTCTGTGTCCCACAGTGGGGACAGGATCGACCCAAGTGATATGGGCACTCAGGAGACAGTATCTTGGACTGTGGTGGTGTTAAGATTGGGCTATGCTGACGGGTAGGATGAAGGTCATTGGCTACACGGGATTCAGCCTTAATGTGACCTGACAAGACATAGCTGCCCCTGCCCTTGGCCCCATGCATACCAGTCAGTAGGGCTGAAGTGTTCCTTTCTGCTCTGTGAGGTGGGACAGGACTGTGTGCCTGGATGTGTGTTTCCCAAAGTCACTGCCCCTAGACTCTCACACTCTCTAAAAAACTAGACCCAACCCCAAAATCCAGCAACCACAAATCTACATGGGAGGGCCAGCAAACATTCTAAGGCAGGCTGGTCACCGAAACCACCCTCCCGGAGGTTATCTACAAGGCTTCAGGGTTTTTTCCAGTTTCTTAAAATGATCAACAAGGTTACTCTGAGCCGTCACTTTTAGTCAACTCTTGTCCCCATGGCCTACCCCTTTAGCTAGTGGGAGCTTCAACTGAAAAAACCCTACAAAGATTCCACCTTAAGAAGGCTGCCAGACACCCCCTTAAATATGCCATTTCCCAGCATTCCAGGCTCTGTGTTGATCCTCATTTCCTGTCTTTCTTTTCCCCTCTCCCCTCACACACACATACCCTCCCTCTCTCTCTCTATCCCTTCTTTTCCAGTTTGCTTCCCTCTGGAGTCATTCTGTGCTCCAGAGCTGGAAAGCAGATGTGAGCCAAGTTGGACCCAGACACACACAGCCGCTCCTGATTCCCCTGCATCTCTCTGCCTGGAATCTAATTGTATCCATGTAACACCAGAGGAACACAACAGGGTTGGACGTGGGAGCACTCAGGGCAGTGAGCAGGCCTGACCATCACTCCCATGAGACCCCACTCCCCATCTCCCCACTGTTCTCATAGAAGAACACCTCTGCCATAGCCAGCAAGTTCTTCATCTTGAGATGCAGGAGCACCAGGTTCCAGGCCAGATGCTGCCAACAGCTAGCTGTGTGGCCCTCTGCTACTTGCTTTGCTTTGCTGAGCCTTGGCTCGTGGCTCATACATAAGATTAGGCATCTTTGCTCGTTGCTGCCATCCACCCCTGAAATTTCTGTGCTTCTCTCTGCACCCCTTACCTTGGGAAGGCAGGCCAGCCCCTTGACTTCTATCCATGTGTTAACTGATGTCTGCCTTCCAAGCCCCAAACAGGGGGCCAGACAGGTGACCTTGGGACAGCCTGTCTGTGCTTTCCAGTGGTGTGAACATAAGAAGCCACCTCTTGCCTAGGCTTTCCAGCAAAGCTCAGGCATGTTGATAGAAACTTTCACTTTCACGTTCCTGTTTCTCCCATCTCATGAGCACCCAAGAACAAGGTACAGATCAGGCAGGTGGGAAGGGCGAGTGTCCGACATCTGGCACAGAGGAGCCATTGCAAAGAGCCAGATGTGCCCTGGGGAGCAGATGGGGACAGTGCAACTGGTGGACTGGGAGGTGAGCTCTTAGTGGGCTTGGGTAGAAGTTCTGAGCACCATGGGGAGAAAAGGGAAAAGCTTGTTTTCAGAAGTCATCAAGTCACCTGAAATTAAGTCAGCCCTGTCATTTGCCTTTTGTCCTTGTTTATGGGTTTTGATTTTGTTTTCATTTTGTTTTGTTTCATTTTGGTTTTGTTGTGCCATACCAAAGGTTTTCATTTTATCCAGTCATGTGCTTTCAGTCTTTCCATTCATGGTTTTGGCTTTTGGAGCCCTATTTAGAAAGATTTTCTCAATCCTCAAGATTAACCAAATATTCACAATTTTTTTTCCCCCTGTGGTGTGAGGCCAAGGTCTCATGTACTTTTCCTAACTGGGTAATCAGTCATCTCCAAATTGGTAATTGAAAGCTCATCCTTACCCCCACTAATTTGATTTAATTTTTTTAAGTTTATTTATTTATTTTGAGAGAGACAGAGACAGCATGAGCCGGGGAGGGGCAGAGAGAATGGGGGAGAGAGAGAATCCCAAGTAGGCTCTGTGCTGTTGGCACAGAGCCCAAGGCAGGGCTCAAACTCACGAAACCATGAGATCATGACCTGAGCTAAAACCAAGAGTCAGACGCTTAACTGACTGAGCCACCCAGGCGCCCCTTACCCCCAGTAATTTGAAGTGTTACCCTTAACATCAGTCTGTTTGGGGACTTGTTCTGTGAACTTGATCTGTCTGCTACCCCCACAGTTAGCATCCATACCTCCTGCACTTGGCCACTCTTTATAGACATCTTCCTAGTTAGTCTCGAAAGGTCTATCTTTCTGGATAAATTTTTGCAGCTACTCTTTTCCTGAAGTTTGCAGAAGAGAGAAAAAATTGAGCTCCAGGGTAGGGACTTACCAAGGGACTCACCAAGGGACTCAAGAGCAGAACTCGGGGTTCCTAACTCCTCTTACCTGTGCTACCTGTTCACCTCTCTGATCTCCCTTCCGTTTGTCAGAGGGCCTCTGCCTAACACACCACGTTCACACTTGCTCTTATCTCTAGAATCGCCCTCTCTGTTGGGAGGTAGCAGGCCGTTGTCAAGTCTACTTGGTGGGCAACTCAATCTGAGGAATTTTCTCATCCTGATGTCTCACATTTGCCTGACTGTAGAGAACGAGAGCCCACACAAGGAGGGATCAGGCAGAGAGCAAGGAGAGAGGAAGAACTGGTGTCCTAGGTGTCTTTTCCACCTGCCCTCCATCCCGCTTCTCTCCAGAGTGGTGGGATTGCCAGGTGCCTTGCAGAACACAGTGGAGAAGGCGCAGCTGGGCCAGGCCAGGTGGAGCCTGGGGTGTGAGGTCAGGTAGCAGCGCTCAAGTGACATCATGTCCACCCCTTCCCCCAGGTACCTGGGCAAAGAGGGCTGGGCGCCAGCATCCTACCTGAAGAAAGCCAAGGACGACCTGCCAGCACGCAAGAAGAATCTGGCAGGCCCAGTGGAGATCATCGGGAACATCATGGAGATCAGCAACCTGCTGAACAAGAAGGCGTCGGGGGATAAGGAGACTCCACCGGCCGAAGGAGAGGGCCCTGAGGTCCCCATCGCCAAGAAGGAGATCAGCCTGCCCATCCTGTGCAATGCCTCCAATGGCAGCGCTCTGGGCGTCCCTGAGAGGAGTGTCTCCAAGCTGGCCCAGGGCTCGCCAGCCGTGGCCAGGATTGCCCCTCAGAGGGCCCAGATCAGTAAGAGCCTTCCTGACCCCTGCATCCTTACGGCACAGCTCTTTAGAAAGCGGTCACAGGGTGCAAGGAAAGCCAGAGGGGTGTATAAGACCCCTATATCATTTTTACCCTGACATCTAGGCTGACCCCTAACCCTGAACTTGTTTCATGCTAATCATGAGTAGGCAAGGCACTTCCTCACAACTCTTGCGCTGAAGATAAAATACACGAGTGTTTAAGCTGGTGGCATTCCCTAGAAGAAAGCCAGGAATGGTTGCTTTGCAGATCAGTGTATCTCCCAGGCTGTGACACGTGGCTCCCTTGTGCAAGGCTGCTTTACAGAGTGACAGCCAGTAGAACATCTTTCCTGGCCTTACCCCTCCTTCTCTCTCGCCTCCCACCAGTTACTGGAAACCTAAAAGACTTGGAAGGAACGGCTTTGCCTCTCCACGAGCAGTTTTAAAGGCCTCTGTATAGGAGAAACCCAGCTAACTGGCCCCCTCCTAACCTATGCATCTCTGGCTCAACAGTGTCTTCAGATGGAGGTTAAACTGCCCTATATGATGAGAGAGCCGCTTCTGTTGATGTCCACCCAGCCTTAAAATCTTGAGGAAAGCTGTGGTTTTAGTTGAGTTCTGAACTTGGCCTCTGCTCCTACATTTGAAAATCTGATAGAGCTATTTACCCTTTCTTCTGAAAAATGCCTCTATGTCTATACATTTTGAAATGTGCACATCATTTTAGGGGGCTCATGGATCCCCCGAAACACAGCCAAGAAAGCTTAAAGGTCTCTGGTTCCATGAAGAAACTATAGTGCTGATAGTGACTGAGCACATGGGCCCCTCCTGAGTGTGGGACAGAGCCAGGAGCTTCCCAGGATCAGGAGGCAGCCACACATAGGGAAGACAGGGTCCAGCGCTTTTACCCATTGTCTGGCTGGGATTTCTGAAGCCATGTTTCTTCTTCTAGGCTCCCCGAACCTAAGGACAAGGCCTCCACCTCGCAGAGAATCCAGCCTGGTATGTATGCTGAATTTCTTCTCCTTTTTTTCTTCCTGTATCTGGGGACGCCCTGTAACATTCCCCAGTTAATTGGTTGTCTCATTTCAATGCCTGTCAGTCCAGGGGTTTTCCAGGGCCCTGCTGGGCTTCCAGCTTTGTGGGGCCAGGGGCAGAGAGGAAAGCCTGGGCATCCCAGCCATTCTGGGGGCCTAGCTGGACAGTTGATGTTCAAAAACACACTGCACTCCAAAGCTAAATAAATCCATCCCAGCCGCTACACTGGCAGACATAAACATTTAGACTGGCCAGCGGGAGTGTCCAGCCAGGGCATTGCCAGGGGCTGGGAATGGGGCTGCTGTCCATGTGTGCCTGGAAGCCTTTCAGCTTCGCCTTCCTGGCTCAGGAATGTCCGATGGCTTTGGTGGATGCCAGAGCCTGGGAGGGCAGAGGGCAGGCCGGCGAGCACCCCTGCAAGGAGGAGTGAATGGCCAGGACTGGCTTGTGCTGAAAGTCAGAGGCTCAACTTGCTGGCGTCCCTGGCTCCTGTAGGTGGGGGTCCTGGTGTCCAGACCATCAGGGAAGAGCATATACCCTCGGGACACTAGGCTTAGGGTGGCAGTGATGCTGGCAGTGGACCTAGAGCCCTAGTTCAGGGGACTGTCCTCAGGGGCAGCGGGTGCCGTGGAAAGAGAGGGCTTCAAGCCTGCCAGACGTGCGTCTACGTTGCACCTTTGACACTTGGGAACGGCGAGATCCAGGGCAAGTCTGTTACCCTCCCCAAGCCTTCATTTCCTGATCTGTAAGATGGGGACAGTGCCAGCCACCTCCTGGGGCTGCTGGAAGGATGAAATGGGATGGTGTGTGCAGGGCTGGCCGCCAGGTTTCCCTTTCCTATGTCAGCTGTGGCTGACGGACAGGCTGCCTGCCGCACCGTGTGGGGAAAGATTTCTGAAGTCTCACTGGGCCTAGTAGCAAGGGTCACTGGGATCCGTGACATCTGCCCTGGCCTGGAAGAGCGGGCCTTCAGTAAACGGGTCCTTGAGTCAGGCGTGTGGAGAGGAGACCATCCCTGCCTTGGCCATCGGCCCCAGGGGAGTTTCTATGTCATTTTACCCTCGAGTTTTCCACGACAAAACAATGAGTTCTCCCGTCCTTCCAGTTCTCTCAGCCCCAGCTGATTATTTTCAGGCAGACTCGGTTTTGGGAACAATGGGCTCATTCCTTCCACACTTAACAAGTGCGGGACTTACTGCGGCAGGGCTTGTCCCAGCCAGATGTGGCTGCATCCCACCTGGTGGCTGGGGGAAGGGGTGGGGGTGCTGGGGCCTGGACCCCATCTACTCACACACACGCCTGCAGGGCCAGGGCCCCGGCCCCGGGCGGAGAAAGTGAGCTGAATCATACCTGGTCCCTCAAGACCAGCTTCCTCCTGCCCTTCGCTCCCTGTGACCCAAGACAGCTGGGCTGTGAGTAGCCAGATTAGGACATGCTGAGCTGTGGAGAATGCAGAAGGTTCCAGGGAATACGATGGCATTTCAGAAGGAGGGGTCAGCTTTGGCTGCTGTTGGTGGAGCTCCCCCTGTGTCCTTGGCTGGGCCAGAAGTTAGGTACCTATCAGTAATTCTCTTCATGACCCATTTTACAGATGAGGAAATTGAGCCTCAGAGAGGTCATGGGCTTTATCCAAGGCCATACAGCTGGTGCGTTGCTGAGCTGGGATTGGAGCCCACATGTGTCCAGCTGCAAGGCAGAGGTCTTTTGAGGTCTTCCTGTTACACCACAGCTGCTTCCCTCTCCCTTCCTGCCACCCCCCCCCCCCCCCCCACCCAAACACACATACTTCTTTGTTTGTTTTGCTTTAACCCCTTTGTGTGATACTGGGACATACTGGAAGTAACAGGGTAGCACAAAATCCATTTTGACCAGAGTAGAGACCGAGTGAAACTAGAATGTCCGCCCCATGAGGGCAAGGGGGTTGTCCTTTTGGTTCACTGTTAAGTGCCCAGTGCCTCAGACCTGGGCCTGGCACCCAGAAGATGCACAGTTGATGTTTGGAAAGTGAATGAATAAGACTCAGAAGTCATGGCTGCAGCCAAATCCTAAATGTCCTTGACTGTCTTGCTTGGGTATTGGTATAACCAATCCAGCCTGTTTTGCCTGACCATTTGGCATCTCTGCAATGACCCACCAAGGGCTCTTCTCAGCCATCTCCGTGCCCCCTTTCACTCCTGCCCTCTGCCCCAAAGAGATGGCTGTGTCCCCTGGCCCTGCCTCTGCAACCAGATGTCACCTCTGTGACCTGTCAGCCAGACTTAAGGACGAGGCTCTCCTCCCATGGGGCAGTTTGCACAGGCTTTGTTAAAACCACTTCTCTGCTTTTTCATTTTCATTTTTGGGACCTAGCTGTTGAAGTATCTATAAACTGGACCTCCAGAGATGTAGGGGTGAAGTTACTATTACTAAATGATCATTTTGACAGCTCAGGGGAGTTTCAAGTGGATCATAGGTAATAGTAGAAAGCCTGCTCAGGAGAACAGTCCCCTGGGGAGACACCCTGAGCCTCAGGTGATGGATACTTCTCAGGTCAGCTGCCCTCCAGCTGGTGTAAACGCCACACTCTGCCTCTGTTACAGTTCTGATCAGGTAGGTTTTGCTCACTGAGCCCTTCTCTGCCTTAGGGGTTCCAGCTGCCGAAGCCACCAGAGCCCCCTTCTGTTGAGGTGGAGTATTACACCATTGCTGAATTCCAGTCCTGCATCTCTGACGGCATCAGCTTTCGGGGTGGACAGAAGGCAGAGGTGAGCCTTGGGCCATGAAGCTGAGGGTTTGAACTCATGCTAGTCAAAGACCTGCCATGTTTCCCATTTATGCCTTGCTGGCAACATTCCAGGGGGGCGGGCAGAAGACCCACGGGGATAAAAATTTGCCTGAAGCCAGTAAGTGCCACGGTGAGGACCAGAATGCAGGACTCCTGTCTCCACGCAGTCCTTCCCTCACAGCAGCGTTTCCCAGAGCGTGTAGTGGGAACTTGTGACGGAAGTGCCCTGAAACAAGGGGCTTCTTTGGTCGAACAGGTTTGAAGGACATTGGGTTAAACAAGATCCATGCAGTTGTGTGCTTTTAATCGCAGAACTTCTCAGAGCCTGTGCTGTAGGGATGTCACCGTGCATCTCTAAGAGGGCACTAGAATAGCAGCATTGCCCAGACCCATTTGGCCCCAGGACAGTTTGTCTCCTAGGAGCACCCTGGGGGCCAAGATTCTGAAGAACCCATGTTAGCAAGTGCTGCTGTGGGGAGAATGTGGTCCACGTAGCCACAGTAATAGGGGCCTGGGTTCTGGCCACGTGCATGCCGCCGGCACCTCTCACCCTCGATACAGTCACTCCTCTGCCCTGGCTTTGATCCTGTGTCTCTGCCACATGAGGTAACAGACCCTAGGAGGCTCCCTCCCGGCCTAGCATTTATGAAACTCTGCTTTGTGGCCACTGCAGGGCACGCGGGCATTGCTCTTGAGTAATGAGGTTACATCCAATTAACACCTGTAGAACTGTCGGAAGAGCCCTCAGGCGGTCTCTGCCTGTGGAAGAGATGGTGTCCCCCGCGTGAATGTTTTAAATCCTACGTATTCAATTTGGAACCGAATTTCCAAGAAAAATCATTCCGTCGGTGGTGCTTAGGTTTCCAGAAGAGCCTCCAAAGCTCACCATGTAACTGAACTGTCATACTTAGGAGCTACCCAGGCTTAATCTTAAGTGTGGGATGGAATATGGGGTGGGAAGGGTGAAGGAAGGAATAGAGGACCAAAGGAAGGACAGAAACCCTCCCTTTTGGTGTGGACTACAGAGGGCTGGTCTCTATCTCTCTTTCTTCACTGCCCCTCTTCCCCTGGTATCAATTTTTTCATGTCCCCTCCACCACCACCCCCCCCCCCGGTACCTTTCTCCAGGAGTGTCCCACAATCCAAAATTATCTTCCCTTTATGTGCTCCAGCCCAGATGAACTGCAGCAGAGGCAGCACCACACTCCTGGTCTTTAGCCAATCTCAAATAGTAGTTAAGAAAGAAGCTCCTTGAGCTAGTTTACACTAACATGGAAATGACTAAAAGCCCCTCATCCTTCCCACAGTTAACCATTTAAGCCAAAGTCCGTTCGACCGGCAGAATTTCACTGGGATCCCACATGCAGTGAAATGACCACAGGCGGTGGGAACACCAGGGAGGCGTCCGGCAGGGTGGCTCTGGTCTCGGGCTGTACCTCCCAGTTCACCTCACCTGCATCTTCCCATTCTCTTCTGACATGAGAGACCCTTTCCAGGGTGGCCGGCGGAGGACCTAGCAATCCCAGGGGCGGGACGAGGAGCAGTGGAATGAATGGCATGTTCTTAGACATACGGGTCCTTGGCGAGTTGGGTTCCATAGGGACTAGGAGGAGTAGGTCTCCTAAGTGCACAGCTTAGGGGGAGAAGCAGGAATCTGTAGACAAGGCCAGCTCGACCTGGGGTGCTAATGGAGTCTTGGAGGACCAGGGGGGAGGGTCTTGGAAAGTAGGAGATGGTGGAGACCTGGCTTTCAATTCCAGCCCAGCACTTACTACCCGGGGTCCTGGGGCCACCTCCTCAGTAGCTCACTTTGCTCATCTGTAAAACAGAGACATGATGCGTCGTAGCCTGGTGCGTCGCGTGAAGTGCGAAGCTCCTAGCCTGGCACATCGTAGGGTCCGGCGATCCTCCCAGCTCACTGGCCTGCCCACCCTTTCCCCTAGGTCATCGATAAGAACTCGGGTGGCTGGTGGTACGTCCAGATCGGTGAGAAGGAGGGCTGGGCCCCCGCGTCGTACATCGATAAGCGCAAGAAGCCCAACCTCAGCCGCCGCACGAGCACACTGACCCGGCCCAAGGTACCACCCCCCGCCCCCCCCAGCAAGCCCAAGGAGGCCGAGGAGGGTCCAGTGGGCTCTGGGGAGAGCCAGGACTCCCCGCTGAAGCTCAAGTATGAGGAGCCTGAATATGACATCCCTGCCTTCGGCTTCGACTCAGAGCCAGAGCTGAGCGAGGAACCCACGGAGGACAGCGGCTCGGGGGAGCGGCGGCCCGCCCAGCCCCGTAGGCCCTCACCGGCCTCCTCACTGCAGCGGGCCCGCTTCAGGGTGGGCGGCTCTTCAGAGGACGTGGCCCTGGAGGAGGAGACCATCTATGAGAACGAGGGCTTCCGGCCGTGTGTCGAGGATGCCCTGTCAGCCAGACGCTCCTCCCGGGACAGTGACTCCCCGGGGGGCTCCCCTCTGTCCCTTGCTAGAAAAAACTCCCCCAAATCAGATTCCCCCAAATCGTCATCGCTCCTAAAGCTCAAGGCAGAGAAGAACGCCCAGGCAGACCTGGGGAAAAACCACTCCTCTGCCTCCTTTTCTTCATCCATCACCATCAACACCACCTGCTCTTCCTCCTCTTCCTCCTCCTCCCTGTCCAAGAACAGTGGTGACCTGAAGCCCCGTTCTGCCTCGGACGCAGGCATCCGTGGCACGCCCACGGTTGGGGCGAAGAGGGACGCCGACCTAAAGGCTGGGCTGACCTCGTGCACCCGGGCTAAGCCGTCGGTCCGGCCCAAGCCGTTCCTGAGCCGAGCAGAGTCCCAGAGTCAAGAGAAGATGGACATCAGCACTTTACGGCGCCAGCTGAGACCCACAGGCCAGCTCCGGGGCGGTCTCAAGGGCTCAAAGAGCGAGGATTCAGAGCTTCCCCCTCAGACGGCCTTTGAAAGTCCCAGTGAGGGGTCCAGGAGAGGCTCCGCTGACCTCATTACCCCCCCAGCCGCCACACCCCCGTGTCCCACCAAGAAGGGACGAGAAGGGCAGGCCGCCTCCTACACGACATGTAGTGCCTACCAGAAGGTCCAGGACTCAGAGATCAGCTTCCCCGCAGGCGTGGAGGTACAGGTGCTCGAGAAGCTGGAAAGCGGCTGGTGGTACGTGAGGTTTGGGGAGCTAGAGGGCTGGGCCCCTTCCCACTATCTGGTGCTCGGCGAGAACGAGCAATCGGACTCCTCTGGCAAAGAGCCAGACACAGTGAGCGCCCAAAGCAAGCAGAACGAGGGCAAGTCAGACAGCCTGGAGAAGATCGAGAAGCGGGTCCAAGCACTGAACACCGTCAACCAGAACAAGAGGGCCACGCCGCCCATCCCCTCCAAGCCTCCGGGGGGCTTCGGCAAGACCTCGGCCGCCGGGGCAGTGAAGATGAGGAACGGGGTGCGGCAGGTGGCAGTGAGGCCTCAGTCGGTGTTTGTGTCCCCGCCACCCAAGGACAACAACCTGTCCTGCGCCCTGCGTAGGAACGAGTCGCTTACTGCCACCGACGGCCTCCGGGGTGTCCGCCGGAACTCCTCCTTCAGCACCGCCCGCTCGGCTGCCGCAGACGCCAAGGGCCGCCTGGCCGAACGGGCCGCCAGCCAGGGCTCAGACGCGCCTCTGCTGCCCGCCCAGCGCAACGGCATTCCCGTGTCCCCCGTGCGCCCCAAGCCCATTGAGAAGTCCCAGTTCATCCACAACAACCTCAAAGACATCTATGTCTCCATCGCGGACTATGAGGGGGATGAGGAGACAGCAGGCTTCCAGGAGGGTGTGTCCATGGAGGTCCTGGAGAGGAACCCCAACGGCTGGTGGTACTGCCAGATCCTGGATGGCGCAAAGCCCTTCAAAGGCTGGGTGCCCTCCAACTACCTGGAGAAAAAGAACTAACATGGGGCGTGGGTCCTTCCAGCCTGGTGCGGGTGAGCAGTGAGATGAAGACAAAGGGGAAAGGGAAAATGGGAGGGGTGGGGGGGGACAACGTTAAACCCTGCAGAATGCGTGACCTCAGAGATGCTCCCCTCCAGGCTGTCCCCCAGCTGGCAGGTAAGGTCCGGCAGGGGCCCACGTTGAGCAGGGAAGGGAACAGGCAGGGGAGCGGCGGGCCTGGGACCAGAGGCAAGAAAGCTGAGCCCTACGTGGGCACCTTGGTGATTTGGCTGACGGACCTGGCACCATTTGGGACAGGCCACGAGGGAAATTCCAATTGTGCCTTGGCTGCAAATCCGGAAAAGATGTGGTCGCAGGGACCTCCTGTGCCCTGCCCCTGCCCAGCTTGGTTTCTGCCGCTGGCACCTTGCCATCGGAGGCAGTCCTTGTGTTTGCCAATTGTGCTGGTCTCCCGGGGATTGCCACCACCTGCCACGGGCGCGTGTCCTAGAAGACCCCACTGGCTCTGGGGCTTGGAGGCATCTCTTGGGAGCCCAGCCTGTCCCTGGGCCAGGCCACCGTCAATGTCTGTTCGTTGAAGAAAAAGCAGTTCCCCGGTTGCCAGCAAGGACCACCTTTCTTACCTGTCGCTGTTCCCTGGCCTTGAGAAGAGTCCGCCCTGCCCTGGGCGCCCCACGGAGAACCGCCAACCCCAGAGTTTACAGAGAGGGTGGGTGCAGCCGTCAGTCTCTTCACCATCTGCACAGACTTTATTTTGGGTACTGCTGGGTGGGCAGCTCTTTTGCATGTTTTGGGAGAGGTTTATTGATTTGGGGCTTCAATGTCAGGCCTTGGGTTTTGGTCTTATTTTAGGGGTTGTTTGGGGGCCCAAGAGCAGTCGGCCTCACAGGGGACAGAATGAGTAGCGGATGGGGCTTTTCTGTCATAACTTTTGCGGGGAGGTTGGCGGTTTTGGGCTTTCACTTCCTTTCCCTTCACAAGCCAAAGTCCTTTCGTTTGGTTTCCACTGTTGTGGACGGCACCGTAGCGTGGCACCTGCCGGAGGGCCCGGGGGCTGAAGCCCCAGTCCCAGACACGGCAAAGCAGAGACGTCTCAGTGGGGCAGGACCCTCCCCAGGAGGGAGGAGCAGGTTGTCCAGGAGAAATGGCAGCTCTCAGGCTGCCGGGTGGCCACCATTCTGCACGTGTTCTCCCGTCTGGGCAGGACCAGAACCCTTACGTGTGAACTGTGGAGAAGCACCCATCGCCCCCGCTGAGGGCTGAGGGGACCCCGGATGGGCAGCCACCACCGGCCGTTCCCCTGCCTACGTGCGATGCCACAGGTACCGGAGGACCCCGGGCCGGGAGCCGACCTGGTCTTCCCAAGGGGCGGTGCCCCCCACGAAGAGAGGAGAGAATAAAGTCCCTGTCAACCTTGGGTTGTGTCTTTCAGTCGTTGACGTTTCCGAGGGGACCCTCCGGAAGCCTTGGCTTCCCCAAGGACTCCCCCCCCCCCCCTTTGCTGGGAGTGGAATCCCACACGTGCCTTTGATTGCGGACGGACTGGGCTCCACAGCCACCAGCTCAGCTGCCAGAGGCCTGGACCAAGGGTTGGTGGTTTCTACAGAGGAGGAAAGGCCTCCCTCTACCCCTGCTCCCCACGCAGGCAGTGTATGTTGCCCGAAGATGAGCACGGGACGCTGTGTCTCGTGCCTTCAGCACCCCACCCGCCCCCTAGACCCTTGAGGCCTCGCCTGGGGATCTCCCCAGCCTCCTCGCTGGCCGTGCACTCATGCCTGGCAGCTACAGCAAACTGCTCGTGTTCTTGGTGGAAGGGCCGCGGTGAGATTTTGTTTCCTTTTGTTTTGTTTGTGAGTTTAAAATTGAAATTCGTTCTTTTCTTCTGCTGGACAGTATTAAATAGAGTAGGATATTGAGTTAATCTGCTAGGTTGCAGTACTAATGGTAGTGGTTTAGTGTCTTCATATTAATATTATTTGGACTTATTTGAACAATAATGATAAAGAAGTGGTTCATTATTTTTTAATTAATGCACTTTAATAAGGTGGAATGGGAAGAAACCCAGAGAGCAAAGTGCATTACTTAAAGATGCAGTATATACTTTTCTCATTTTTAAGCAGCACATATTTATTAAAAGAAAAAAAAAAGTAATTTATGATTATTTAAAATAAAATTTAAAAGTAGAGTGACTATTGGGTGAAAGGACCTTCCATGTAGCTGTCTTCCAAGGGGGGGGGCCCAGCGGCCTCGCTCCTCCAATGTCTGCACTGAGCCAGTTCAGTCAGTAACGTGCCAGCCAGGCCAGGAAGGAGTGCAGGACGCATCTGCCGAACACAGAGCATCTCAGTTGGACTGGACCACAGTGTTCCCCAGAGCCTGCCTTTCCCTGCCCTTCCTCACGGTCTGCACTGCCCCGTGGGGCTCTCCAGCACCCGCGGGGCCCACATTCTCCACCCTCCCCCAGGACCCTCTCTCCTCGATCCCCAGTGCTCTAAGTGATAGTCATTAAAAGTGGCCTTGGAAGTCACTCCATCCCATCCCCTTCTGTTACTGCAGCCCAAGGGCAGGAAATTACTTTTCCTGAAATCATGTAGCTAGTTAATGGCAGACCACCCCACTGCATTAATCCTTGCGCTCCCTCCCACCCCCATTGGAGTTTATTGTGTGGTCATCATGTTTACATTGTGACATCCAGCCCCCTAAGGATGGCTGGGAGTTGCTCAGGCATCTAGGAAACGTGGGGAATGCTGCCACCTGGTGACAGCATGTAGATTTGGGCAGTGAACAGGGATTGCCATGCCCCATCTTCGCACCTCACCCCTCACCATCACCCCCTGACTCAACACAGCACAAACCCTGCAAACCCAAAGAGAATATTAATACTTGAAGCACGAAGGGTGCATGCCAGTCCCTCTCAGACATGGCCGGGGGATGCCAGGGCTCGTGCCCCTGGACTCCTGAGCCCCACCTAGGGCAAGGGGGCTTTTCCCTAGAGCTACTGAGCTGCTTTGTGATGTTGGAGGGTACCGCAGCAGGTGGAGGAGGGAGGGGCCTGTGGCTCTGACCCATCTGGAGGAAAACCAGATCGGACTAAAAAAGGAAAAAGGAAAATGAAATCTCAGCAGTGTCCAAACCCAGTTTTCCATTAATTGCGATTGAAAATGTGAAATGGCGTTGTATTGCTGTATACTGCACCTTTAATCCTAATGAGCCCTTCTGAGGTCATTATTGAGGTTTGTATAATGCCCGAAGATGCATCATTTGGTGCTTTTTCTTTCCGTTTAAAGACCTTTTTTCTTTCATTACAAGGGGAAAAAATGTCTTCATCTCTCTCCCACTTTGAAACAGCGGGCCTGGCTGGGCTCCCTAGCCCTGCCACGCTGTTGCCACTAGGCCAGGGGCCCCCTGGGGGCAGCAGGAGGGGGCCGGAAGGGGCGACTCTGAACGGCGAGTGAGCCATCTGCCCCTGGCTGAACCCAGGTTCTGCCTTGCCAGCCGTGGCCCTCCACCCCTCGCCTGGCCCCAGAGGCTTCTCTTTCTTACTCTCGAGTCTCCATCTTGACGAAGGCATTATATAGAATCGTTTTAATCACTTTCAGATGTTAGAGCAGCATATTTTACTGGCATTTATATCCATCGCTTTCCTCAGCAAGGCATGTTACTACTTTTATCGTCTAAGGAAGAAAGACAAGGGAATTTCGGTTGAACGTTATTTTCATATTACTAGTATTTGCAGAGTAGGTGTAGAACTATTTAAGTCTAGCCCTCGGTTTGGTAGTTTGTTTTAAGGGAAAAAAAAATGAAAGTAGCCCCTACTTTTCCTGTGTTTGTTTTGTTTTGTTGTTCTGGGTTTGTTTGTTTTTTTTTTTTTTTGTATTTAACTAATATATTATTTCTTTAAGGTTACTCACTTCCCCTACCCCTCCAAATACTTTGCATTCTCAATCGAAAATGAAAACAATCTGAGAGACAGGAAAAGTGCAATATTATCAAGAGGGACGCCAGGGCTTGTTGGGACAGTGGCGGGAGACCCGGTGGCCCGTTCGTCCATAGGAGGCGGCAGGGCTGCTGGAAGGAGTTAAGCTGTGGAGCAGACAGGTGACCTTCTGGATATTGATCTTTTATACCCGCCCCCTCCTTCCTGGCAGGATGGCAGGGGTCCCTACCGGAGGGCAGCCCCTTTTTCTGTTGGGTGTTATCCACCCAGAAGGGATTCAGGGACAGGCCGCTCAGGGCCCCAGCCATCGGAGCAGAGCAAGGACATCCGGGAACGGTCCCTTGTTTTCATTTCCATTGTTTTTCAGCCAGCTGCCCAGAAAGACCTGTCCTAAAAATCACTCCCAGCAGCCCTCTCTCACCCCAGTCTCCTGATGTTTGGGCCGTGATCTTTCTGATGTATGTTTGAGTCTTTCTAAAACTATGTAACCTCAGTTCAGTTTATGGGCAGGAACCCGAGATGTAACCAAATCCTTTTTTGGGGACGTGGGTGCCTTGAGCCCCATGTACTCCAGTGAGACACCAATTCCCACAAGCCTACAGCTAGGCCTGGTGCTGAGCTTGGGCCACCCATTCATCTCAATGACTTCAGCCCGAGGAGTGAGCCCGGCCTCTTGCTCAACACCCCGACAGTTCCCACAGGGCCTCAGAGAAGTGTCTGAGGGGCCTACTCAGGTCTTTGTAGACAGCTCCCCACAACAGGTACCAAGCGGGCCTCCTCCTTACTTGGCACTGGTAGAGAAAGCAGCAGGATGGGAAGTCTCTGGGTCCAAGCCCTTGGAGCTCTGCCCTTCAGGGCTCCAGGGACATCCTCACTGGCTTGTCCCCTCCGTCTCCAGTACTGTATGCTTGCTGCTCCAACCCCTCTGTTGGGTGAATTCCTGTACAAACATGGATCTGTGTGCCCAGAGTGGGACCGTGCCCCTGTGTGTGGGTGTCTCTCCTTGGAGTATACACATTTATATGTCCAATCTTTGAGAATCTCGATGCAGAGCTCTCTGGAA